CAGATGGCACCACATGGCTACATTTAGGCAGTAGAATCCCACCTGAAGCTCTTGATACCAACCTGGAGCTGTCAAACAGCTGGGCTGCCCAGGACAGAGCAAGTTTTCCCACAAACAAGGGAAGGGCCACTGCTTCCATCCACCTGGTTGCTGGTGTATGTGAGGGGAGAGAAAGTGCAATATTATCAGCTGATAACAAGCTCTTATTTCTGTCATAGATTATTAAATGCTTCTTTAATTCTACAGAGGAGGCAGATATCTATTATTTCTCTGAACTGGAACAGGCCTTTTCACTCTCTCTCTATTTATCTGTAGGCAATGAGTCCAGCTACACTCTCTGGTATTAGCATGCCCTACCTGTACCATTTTTAGTACAAATATAATCAGGCTCCCCTGGAGGTGGAGGTATCAAATGAAAAGGATAGCACTGAATCCATGTCACCCACCTCTATTACCCACACTTGGCACACTTAAGGACAGAAGTACACTTAAGCAAAAACGATAATGGGTTATTTGGGGTGCGGAGCACAGAAAGGAATCTGTAATACTAGTGTTGTCACTGGGATGTCACTCTAATGATAGAAGAGGTTAGCAAGTTTTGAAGAGAGGGGCAATAGGTTTCTTTAGACCAACTAATACATTCAGAAAAGGTGGGCAAGTGTTCAGGCACAAAAAGTCAAGAAGCAGTTGCTTTCGTGACAGAAGAGCATCAGGTACAAAATACTAGCAGCAGCAGTATGGAAATGAGGGGGAAAAGCATTATGGAAGAAATCATCTAAAGATTCTTGTCAGATAAAAAATCTTGCATTATCACGATGGAATAACCTAACACTTCTGAATTTTGCAATCCATGCAAATGTATGATGAAATTGATACTCTTTTAAAATAGTTCTTCTATCATGCTAGGATGAATTGCCAGAATGGCTCCTGGCTTTAAATTACAGTGTAGATAGAACTGCAGCATTAAGATTTCATTTCAGCGAAATTGCCATTAATGTTTTACCTAATGTAAGCTGATTTTCTATCTCACTTAGGAAAGAAAAGTACCCTGTCATGTTCCATATTTTATTTGATTGAACTAGCAGAAATCTCTATCACCCTTTCACAGCAAGTCAGCAGCACATTTCTTTAGTACAACGGGCTGAATATCTGTCTTTTTTATAATTATATGATTGTATGTTTGTTAAGAAAAAAATCTAGGAAGTTAAATACTAACATGGTTGGAAGAAATACCTTTAAATCAGAGGGACAGTGACATATAGCTCCTCTGCTTACTTAGTTCACGGATTAGGAGTCATTTCAAGCTGAGGTTAGGCTGGGTGGGACAGCACTGCAAGTGCTTAAACCATGAGAACAGCCTTCTTCTTAGAGCTGTTTGCAGCTAACACGGTGGGTGGGATTCCCAGAGGAAACTATCAAATACTGTTGCCATATGCTAAAATAACTTCAGTTTAAAGCCCCAAAAGCTATAATCATGGATAGGACTCTGCTTGAAGAACTGAAATGTGCAGGAAGCAATTGTTTTAATGACAAGATCTTCAAAGCAGCAGGCATCAAATGCTCATATAATCAATACAAATAATAAGTGCAAAAGGCTTTATTACAAGCAGAAGACAAAAACAAAGGTAAGCTGAGGAATGCAAATGACTACCATGCATGGTACTCATGCAAATTGCATCCTGACTGTCCTTTCCACAGAGATACCAGGGTTTTACCCTATTCCTCCCTCCTTATCTTTAGAGACTGGACGTGCATGGAATGCACCCTGTTTTATCTAAAAGTGCCAAATCCCTGAAAACGCCCGACCTTTGATCTCTCTGACTTGAGTGAGAATAACACAACTTAAGAGACAACAGCTAAATGTCGTTAGCCATGAAATACTTGCACTAAGTATTGCACTTGCATCTAAGTGTATTGCAGCTCTGAATAATTCAAGAAGTTATGCAAGTGTGGGGCTTGGTTTGAGGACTCGGTGACATGGAATCAAGTTTTTTCAATGATAGCAAATTTCTATGAAGGAAAACATGCAAGAAAGGTGTTTCTTATAGTACCTCTATCACTTTCTAATTGTGAAGTTAAAGTGCAGAACATCTATGTTTAAGATGCCATTTAGATGTTATTTAGTCTAGAGTCCTGAAAACATTTCCCTTCAAGTACAACATTTGCCTAAGTTGCAGAGCATATACAAAACAGCACTTGATCTTGACAGCTTTGGCACATGTGCTTAGATGTCCTTGACAATTAGGCGTGGAAAATTGGGCCCACGTAGTTGTCACGTGCTGTGACAACAGCCTTCCTGCATGCCCTCGCTTCTGCGATCCCTGCTACCACCTGCCTCAGACTGCTCGCAAGGCAAACCTCCTCCATCCCTCTGCACTCAGCAAGGTACTTCAGGATTAGAGCAAGGGCTGGGAGGAAGAGACTAGGAGGCATGGAGCATTGGGAAGTGTAGGATCGACTGAACCACAAAGCCCTCGATCAGATGGCAGAAAGGAGGGGTCTGGTGGCTGGCTGGTCATCTGGTTAAGCTGCTGGTCATCTACCAGGAAGAGGCCACCAACACTCAGTGAGCCAGATCGGTTTTGGTATGACAGAGAAAGAGGGCTAGATGCCAGGAACAGACTTTCCTCTGGGAAAACAGTTGATCCGAAAACCTGGGAAAGCTATATTTAACTGCAAAGTGACGGGGCTCCGAGCCTGGGTGAACAAGAGACAACATCCTCGAGTCACAAGAGAAAACAGACAACCTTCCATAAATAGTTCCACTTCTGGCTGAGCCTGACCGGTTTGCTGTAGCCCCGGGGCTGCTCTCTGGCTCTGCGCAACGCGGGACACGCCTGAAGCTCTGCATGCTTCCCAGACATTGTGCCAATACTCTTAATGCACAGGCAGCCTTCAGCACCCCCGATGTGTGGCCATACAGCCCCAAATCATGGGCAATTATGTCAGCATCAGCTTCCCACTTCAAACCACACTCCACTCCTGTATTCCACACTCTTTTCTATTTGTTAGAAATACACTTCTGACACCAAACAGAGAAATAGAGGAATGATTCAGTAGTCGAACCCCAGACACGTAGCTCCTAAAGCAAGGAGTCACATCACCAGCCTGCTGGCCCCTGCTCAGCTCCGTTCTCGTTTTCATGTCAGAAATGGCTGTGTACATGAAGGGGGCAGCACTGCTGTCTGTAAGCTGCTTCACTGCTTCCACAAGTAGTCTCTGCACCTACAGTCTGAATCTGGGGTTTGGTACAAGGTATCAGAAAGGATAAATCAAACATTCAAAAGAAAGAAATGGGGAAGAGAAGGATCCCCTCTCACGGGTGGCACAGTACATGAATTCGTTTGTATGTTCAGAGCCTGACCTTTCCTGCCCTTGGCCAGCCCATGCTGACCTTCATTTACCACGGGGCTGAGTACCACGGGCCGGGCTCTGCAGCACAGGCAGTCCTTTCAGCAGGCTGTCACATCGCAGCTGGTACTTCAGGGCTTCCACCCCTGCACAGCATGACACGGTCTCAACCCATTTTCCCACGCCTGCTCTTTTTCCTTCTCCTCTCCTCTCCTCGTGCCCAAGGAACCAAACTCCCTGATGCAGTGTCTGAGAGCCCACGGCACGGTCCAGGAGGAACAAGCTGCGATGCCCCCTTTGAATGGTCCAGCCCAGGGTCAGTGACTTGCAGAAGAACCCCCAGCCCCCATACTTGGTTCTTTCAAATTCATTTAATAATATTTGTCCCGGAAATAAACAAAGTATTCCCCAAATACTTGTATTGGGCCATATTATCTTTGAATTCTTTTTTTTTTTTTTTTTTTTTTTTTTAAAGAAGAGCTCAAATACTGAATGCAGCAGTCACCTGAAACATATTAGGGTGTTTTTCTTTTTTGTGAAACACGGAGGAAAGAATCCAAGTGTTCTCAAAATAAACAACTAAATAAATAAATAAATAGAACATCCAGCTTTACCTCATCAATGCAAACCAGGCCTCTGTTTTTCAAATAGTCAAATGTTTGCAGCTGTATCTAATTTATTCCTAGCATAAAGTTATGGCCAGGCTAGTCTTTGCAGCTCCACAGGGTTCCCAAAAGGAAACTCCGTTATTTAAATAATCTGTTGGTACTGCAGAAGGGCTTTCCAAAGACTTTATAACCCATGACTCGTTTTTCTGCAGAGGCTAACTGCTTATGCCTATTTTTATTTTATCCATATAGATTTACATCTCTTTGGATCACATTATACTGTGATGCCTCTTAAACGTTCATGTGAGAGAGGAAAGATATTGTAGTCCTGCTTGTCCACTAGAAACCCCGCTGATTCCTATCCTCTTTAAGGGCCAGAGTGGAATTTGGCCTGAGCTGCTTGCATTTTCAATCTCATTTTGTGCCGGTTTGAAGATCAATAGAGGGAGGCGATGCTGAGGCACAGCAATTTCAAGTGTACAACTATTGTGCAGACGCTGTAACTTTCATTATACAACCAAGCTTCTGTGCCTGTCCAGAACTTCAGTGATAAACAATCTGCTTACATAGTCTGTCACAGGATCAGGAGCCATGAATTTGTATCCATAAACATGGGCTACAGCAGCACAGCTAATTAGGTGTATCCTCAGAAGTGCCTTCCATGCGAGTATCTTTCCATGAGAAGTCAGCTGTCTTGTTAAGAGTTAACTGAGTTATTTTTTAACATGGATATTCACACAGATGAAATAAAGGTCTCCAAATTACTTTCTCAAGCTACTCCTTTTTTTTAGCTGAACATATGGCTAGAAAAATAAGCTGAAAAAAAAAAAAACTTTTTTATAACTCAATTTTTACAATCAGCAAAATAAAGAACTATGTATATGGTGCAGAGCATGTAACTGTAAATGTTAACACAGTGGTGCTCGGGGATGCTGACTCACAAAGACACTGCTAGAAGTACTGGTTTACAGATGAACAGCAGGCAGTAACTCCTTGGTCAGTTCCCAGTGTCTCCCTCCAGAAATACCATACGTATTTCATTTGCAAAGCAAGTTGAATGCTTTAATCATATCAAAATATACTTTCTACCTGGGAACCAGTAATGCCAACACTGCTGATGACAAACAGTACATAAAAGGAAACAATGCACATTGCAAAATACACACATCCCAGTCAGACAGTTAAGGTCTTGATATAATATTTCTGGTTAAAAAAATAAAACAACATTATGAGATATTTAACATTATAATCCCGCCTCATTTGTGGTTATGAAGACAAGTTTGTTACGGACTTTCAGATGAATGCGAGGCGCTGCCTCTAACTCTGGCTCAACAGAACTGATAGAAGATCCTTTTGGGTGATCCTTTTGGCTTACCTCCACGAACGTTAAGATCTCTTACACATTCTATGCAGAGCCCAACCTAAAATAGGAGTGCTCGTAACTCTGCTTAAATCCCTCCTTCAGACAACTTACCAGAAAAGTAACTGAAACTGGCATAAGAGAAGATCTTCTAACCACAATAAAATGCTCTAGAAGCAAAAGTTGGCTACAAGTCTGAGATGCTCAAATCCACCCCATTCTTGTCTCATATTTCCCAACACTCTTGAGTTTACTAATATTTCATCTGGATACTGTATCTTCTTTGTCATGCAGTTCATGTGTCAATGGCTGAGCTCTCTCCCTGTTAATTTCATACAAAGCAACAGCTTCATCTTACGCCCGGTGTTTCTCTGTATTATACATTGGAAGTCATGAACTGCTTTATCTTCTGAAAGAAACGTGGCTCGTGCATTCACACCACAAACTTCTTATTCTACCCAATCATTCCTTTCTGTAGAAAATATTTTGTTCAAGGGTGGGGGTGGGGAGGTGGACAGGCAGAGACATCACAAGAACTGAATTCAGTTGTTTCCAGTATCTCTTCTTTACCGATGTGTCAAGTATGTTTTGGGGCAGGTCACCGGCATGAATGCAGTACAACAGGTTGGGCATGTCTCAGTTTGTTTGCAGTTGCAGAACACTATAGGATTTGTTAACTGCCATAGATATATCCTGCAGTGTCACAGTGCTGTCAAAATACACATCGTGGAAGCCATGGCTATCAAGCCAGATACATAAAAAATAAAGCTATGTTTGGTCAAGAAATCAGCTGTTCTCAGAGCAAAGCAACCTGCAAAACCACCAAAAATAATCCAACATACTATGATAAGAGATGGAAGTTGCAGTACGTAAATCAATCATTTGTGTTCTGAATATAGTAATAAAAAATAGCATGTGATGAAGGTGAGAGCCATCAGTCGCATCGCATTCCCTCAGCTTAGTGGACAGACATCATTTGTTAATGCTACAGCTGCCAGATCACTTTAAAGGAGAACTCAGACCAAATTACAGTACTCTAACCTTGCAGAGGATGAACCTGAATCGTGATACTGGTCTTCTGATAAGTAATGTTCTAACAGGCCTCTGGCTTCCAATAATAAGGTAAAGCCAGACAAGAGTGCTCATTTCTGATAGGAAACTAATTGTACATATTTATCAACAAAATAATGTACTTCCTTGGTCTTGATGTGGACAAAATAACACAAAGAATGGCTTTCAGTATCTAAAACTAAGCACCTGCTTAGATCGTCATGTGTTTTTTTTTTTGTTTGTTTGTTTTCACTCAACAGAGCTATCAGTAAAATGCACGTGGCAGCAAACCAATGCATCCGGTAGGAGTCCCAGTACATGCGGTGGCATGTGTAGCTCCTTCATTTTATCTTGGGATGATTAAGAACAGAAATCTAAGCACTAAAAAATCATATGATCACTTGAAGTTTATGAGCAGACAGATCAAGGATCTGTAAGTTTATGATAAGCTTTAAAACAAGAAAATACATCAAACACAATACTATTTTTTTTAATATGTAAGAAAATACTTTTTTGAATGTGAGGGTGATCAAACGCTAGCACAGGTTGCCCAGAAAGTCTCCATGCTTAGAGATACGCAAAACCCACATGGGCATGACCCTTACAGGCCTGAATGAACTGACCCTGCTCCAAGCTGGATCAAGACCAGATGAACTCGAGGGTGGCCATCCAGCTGCTGCCACTCTGTGCCGAATGAAGCCAGCTGGCTGATCTGCGTTGTCTGTGCTAAGGAATCCAAAACCTGTCAGAAATCTGTTAATTATAAGAATTTTTCTGTGGAGAAATGAGGAATTGGAGGCAATCTCAGCAATATATTTTAGACTGAAGCAATGGGAAATGAATTGGTTTGTTTGTTACCTGTCTCCTGGCAATGGAAGAGCGAGGGAAGCAGTGTGAAGGCACAGCACTGCCAGGGCAGAGGGGAGACAGCATCTTGGCCTCTTTCCACTGCAGCTAGCTGCTAGACCAGCTGATCTGTTTTGTGATGCGCATGTAAAAAGTTACAGGTGGGAATGTGACAGAAAATAGTAGCAGATAGAAAATAGGACACGTGAAACTAAAATGCATACTCACACCAATCATTAAACATGGATATAGCAGGAAAACAAAAGCCACCAATGCAATCCATGCTTCCCATCACTCCTATGAAAAAGTTTGCAGCAAACAATGAAATAGCAAGAGGCAGGTGTTAGAAACCCAACAAGTCACACACTCAGGGAGTACTCATCTGCCAAGAACTGCATGAACCACCTTAGCCAGCGCTCAAAAAAATGAGGCAGATGAGGTCTGAATGAAAAAGCCAATTGCACTTCTAACCCAGAAAGAGGGTCATGGGCAGGCAGATGGTGAAGGAGAAGAAGCAATGAAGAAAAACGAAGAAACCTGTAAAATGCATTCTTTTCCTAAAATTATTAGAGAAATGAAGGCATTTTTCTAATTGCACATGTAAGGCCATCTCCACTAGTACACAAATTTTCAGTGGTTTTCAGACAAAAGCTCCTCCCTGATAGGGGAAAAAGAACAAATTAATTTAGATTATTTTAATGCAACCAAAAAATCCCAGAGAAAGGCACATTAGTATGCTTTAAGCCAAGGTCCTAGGATCCCACAGATCTGAGCCATAGTATTGCACATTATGCTTCCTTCCCTTTAGGGCATTTAGGGCCCCTCATTCAGGAGGTGCTCTGGTCAAGTTTGCTGCTGTGATAGAAATGATCACTTGACTGCTCCAGCCTTTTCCCAGAGGCTACTGCCAACACAGCAAGCCGGCACACGGGAAAATGTTCCCAAACTGGAGGTAATCTAGTGCACAGACCTGTCTTTTAACAAGTTCAGAAATATCCCTTGGTAATAAGGCTGTGCTGATGTAAAGTGTTACCACCTGCACATACTCCTCCTAATGGGAACTGGCAAAAGGAAGAGTGAGCACTCCTCCCTACTGCAGTGTGAAGCTACTGCCCTCTGCCCTCTGCTCTGCCAGTGAAGGTGGCTGTGAGCCTAGGCACCGGGCACTACGGGTGGGCACCCACTCTCCTCTGCTGGCTGTGTTAGGCATGCAGTCACTCCAGGAGAGCAACACATAAGATAACGTTGGGGGTGATGATGTTTTAAATGACCATGACAGGACTTGCCAGGGCTCACCTGTCAGTCATGTGAGTAAACTGACCTCCACCAGTACTTTAATAAATCGCTGGGCTTTGCACTGCAGTAACATGCAGACCCTTGTTCTGTTCCAACAATGCTGTGGTCATGGTGGCCGAGTTTCCCAGCCATCGCAGGGTGATGCCCCAGAGCTTGCTGCTTGAATTGAAGTAGCCTATCAGAACATCTCTTCTTTTTGCTCATCAAACCCAAGAAGAATAGTTAAACAACAACATGTTGCAAGATCTGTTTGAGTATGTGTTGTAATGCCTTGAAAAAGGAGACAGAATTAGCTAACATCGTTCATGACACTTGGTTTTTTTGGCTATCAAGGCCAATAGAAATGTCTCTAAGAAACTGCAGATAAATCAGAGGCAGTGCAGAGGTGAGCAGCAATGGCAGCTAGTTGAAAATAAACCTGTATGAAGACACATATAAACACTGACACAATCGATCTTTGGACCAGTGTTATGGGAACAACAAGAATCCAGGAAACAGAGTCTACTGAAGATGCTGTCCTTCTGTAATGGCAAGAAAAATGAAAATAGGAAGCAATATAAGAGTAAAAGAAATTAAGGTGGGAGGCGCACCAACAGCATTATATGATAGCATGACTTTAACTAAGTGTACAACCATACGTAAAGTAGGTGAAGTTCTTTGCCAACAAGACTATTCAGACAAGGGCAGTGATAGTGGTTAGGCTTAAAGCACGCCAAAAGATTTTGATGGAATGTGCTAAGCACAAGGGCATTTTGAACATCCATAAAAATAGATGTATCCCCCCCATTTACTTGTTTATTACCATGCAGGCCCAAAATGTAAACAATTCCAGAATTACCAAGTACTTTACATGCAGTTACTCCTGCTAACATCAGAGACTGATCTGACTTTACAGACTCTCAATTAGTCTGCCATAACAATCAGAATTTATCATCCTAAATACAGCATTATGCAGCAGAACAAGAACTTCATAGCCTTTTTACACCCTTTTCCTCATCTTGAGGTACTTGTCACTGGGAATGATGGAAACTGAAGTAACAAAGGACACACTTTTACAACACTGTAAAACATAGCTGCAAAATAAGTGACAGCGGCTCAAAATTTTTTTAATTTTTTAAATTATACTGAATTATGGTCTCAGTACTACCTCACCAACAGGTTGCCATATTATTCATCTGGTCCCCTTCTGTTTATGAAGTGAGACACAATTTTCAATTAAATTATGGCTTGCAGTTTTCCTATAAGGCCCCCACCTTGTTCAGCACATGTCATGTTGTGCTTGCTGGTTAACCAGTTTTTGGATACTTCACCAGATTTTCACACCTCAAAGTGTGGCTCCAAAATTTACTTATTTCACAGTATTTTCTGAATTCATTCATGTTCCATTCATGGGCTTGTCTAACATGAGTAGATTACTTAAGTGTCTACCAGAATTCTCCACACACAAAAAAATAATAATAAAAAGAACTTACTTCATAGCAACCCATTTTGCAAATGGTGCATTTCTATTATCTCTATTTTATGAAATGGGAAATTGAGGTATGGGAAGATTAGTGTCAAATATCTCCAGTAACTTTGACTGTTCATCCAGAAACATGTAACATGAAATTTTTAAGAGAATGCTTAAAATACTGGTGATATATTAATTTCACCTGTATTCACAAAAGTTCTGCATTTCTGCAAATCAAGTCTGAGGTTCTCAAGATAGATACTATGAAATGAGGAACATGAAAATGAGTGATTGCTTCTGAAAAATCTGTTTTTATTTCCTGGCTCCTCATCAGACAGCAAACATGTAGTAGCAAAATATCTGGTCCTGTAGAGTAGCATCGAACTGTCTTCATAAGAAGCTCTCCTCTTATTCTGGTTTCTAGCATTAGTCACTATATATATTGTCCAATTTCTTCATAAAATAAGGCAAGGATCCTATAGATAATTACCTTTCTAGAAAAAGACATCTGTAAAATAGAATACAATGGAAAGCAGTCCCATTCTGACTGAAGGCCAGAGCACGATGTGTGACATAAGACTGTCAAATTGCAAATGCAACAACCAATAATTCATGAGATTTTAACAGGGAAACTAATAAAGAACAAAGAAAACTACCTGCTTGATAAAGTAAACATCTTAAATGAAAATTACAGTCAACTCCAGAGCTCAAAGGCATATTCACATTACACCATTCCGTCATTTCACATAAAAGAGAAACCCCAGCAGATCATCCTCTTCTTTATGGAGAAATTAAGAAAGGGGTTGGGACATAGTTGTTGCCAGCAGATTTTTATGGATATTTCATAAGAGTAGGAAAGGTTCAAGAATTTTGTGTTCCATTCCAGATCTGCATGTGCTCTAGCAAGTCACTACAGAAAGCAGGGAACACTCTTTCACCAAAGGACTGAGAGAAGTTCCCTGAAAAAGATTTTTTTTATGGGAAGGCCTGGGCCTGTATAAGAAAAACTTCCAAGCAAGAACTCTGTGTCTTCTACACAGCTTTAACAGAAAGGCTGCTTTTTTGTCAGTAATCAGTGTTCTTGAAAAACATGTGATTATTTTTACTTTTTTTTTTCTTCCTTACAATGCTGATTAACTGCCAGCAATTCATCCCATAACTGATGTAGCTGGGACCAACTTTTCAAGATCAGCACTGCATCCACAAAATCAACACGAACCTTTTTTTGTCTGTAGAAATGAGCTTTTAAATAAGCACACAGGCAGTATTACCCAATTTGTATGCAAAGATGTGGGTTTCCAAGGGCAGCTTTTTTTCCATTACAATATTACAGGTAAAATGTACAATCAAATATGCACCCGTTTTTACTAATTTGTACCTTAATGAATAATAGGAATGAATGTTTACTTAATAAAACACTTGAACCTGTCAGTACAGCTTTTTAATGAACAGTTCTAGAAAGTGCAGTTTTGCATTTACGATTTAACTGTGGGAATAGTCCAAAAACAGTATGTGCACCTGCATCTCCTAGAAATTCACCACCAGACCACACTTCTCTCCATAATTTCCTCTTGACTTTTGTATTTCCGTGTTTATATCTTGTCCACATTTGTGACACCAAATAATCACACGTACCACGTAATGAAATAGCCTGTCGGAAGTATTTTGTGTTGCAGTCCATGTTGCACTGAAGGCAGTTTAGAATTGTTTTTTTCCACTCAAATTATAGGGAACAGTGGCTGAGAACAACAATATTTACCTGTATTAATTTGAGGAGGGCACTCTGACAAACACTAATATTTTACAGTGTGCCAGTCTAGGCTTAATTTGTACATCTCACACTTTCAACAGGCTGGAATACGGTGGCACTACCCTGTCAAAACAAACAGATAAAGAATTATGCTACTGCAAACGAACCACAGCGACACGTACAACTGCTGGACAAAATGAAGGCAGGAGGCTGTTTTGCAAGCTCTGCTTAACGTTTTGGGGAACGCCTGGCACGGTTTGGGGTACCAGCCATGTCTCTACACCTTGTTGACCAAGGACACCTCGCCACCCCCATGCCCTGCTGCAGGCAGCAGTTACTTCAGCTTCAGGCTGCAAAACCCGCGGGCAGGCTGTGATACGGCCTTCACGTTATCCGAAATGCTCTGAACGGCACAAAAAACGACAGAGAAATATGCAGGGAAACACGCAGCGTTCAGAGCCGCCAGGTCAACCCGTGGGGCACACGGAGGCCGAGGGCCGCACCCCGGGCAGCGCGCCACGTCCCGGGAGCAGAAATAAAAGAAATTGGAGGAAATAAATAAATAAATAAATAAATAAATAAAACAAAGAAACAAACAAACCAAAAAAAAAAAAACTCTCAGAAATTAAGACGTGAGGCAACTTTAAGCGGAAGTTCTGGCATTAAAAAAAAAAAAAAAAAAAAAAAAAAAAGGAAAAATAAATAAATAAAAGCAAGGGCGGCCCAGCCGCTGACAGCACACGGAGCCCGGCCCGGCCCACCCCGAGCCGGCCCCGCCCGCCCCCGGGTCTCCGCCCGCCGCCGCCCCGCCGCCGCTCCCCGTCCCCCCGCGGCCGCCCCGCACCGGGCGCCGTCCCCGCCTGGCCCCGGCCCCTTCCCCGGGCATTTGGCGTGGCTGCGGAAAAAAAACGTCACTTACCAGGAGTGGGGTTCGAACCCACGCGGACATACGTCCATTGGATCTTAAGTCCAACGCCTTAACCACTCGGCCATCCTGGTGCAGATACAGGAACCGCACGCCGCCGCTCCTACATACGGGGCCGCGCCGCGCCCCGACACCGCGGTACCGCGACCCCCGGCCCGGCCCCGAGCGCCCCCCCCCCGTACCGGGCCCCCTCCCGCCCTCGGCTGCGGGGCGGGCGGGCGCAGAGCGCAGCGGGTGCAGGCGCGGGCGGCCCCCTTCGGCTGCTGCCGGAGAGGCGGGCGGGAGGGCAGCACGTCCCTTCCCCCGGCCGCTGTGCAGCCGGAGACAACGCTGCTCCTTCTCCCTTATTTATTTTTATTTTTTATTATTTTTTAATTTCCTAAACGGCGGTGTCAGCTGGAGACGGGGTGTTACCTGCTGGCGCTCTTGGTGTTCGACCCAGGTGCTTCCTGGGAGAGAGCTTCCCTCGCTGAGGGAAGGACACAACAAAGTCCAGAGCGATGAATTACGCGTAATTAGGAGGAAGACGTCGCGGAGGAAGAATTTCTGAATCTACAAAGTTCAGTTACAGCGTTAGTGGCCGGGCTGGGACCTGCCCCCTCTGCCCAGCTTGGGCAGGGGCTGGAAGCACGCCCCATCTCTGGCCTTCCTCACACAATCTCCTACTGTGGTCGCACTTGTTTTTTCTCTGGAGAATGGACACCCTTCATCCCACAGAGCTTGATCACCTTGGGATGAGGGATGGCTGCTGTCCCTCAGTGTCAGCTACAGATGGCGAGCAATCATAGACACACAAAGTCACCGAGGCTGGAAGAGACCTCTGAGATCACCTGGTCCAACCACCCCCTACCACCAATGTCACTCACTAAACCATGTCCCCAAGCACCACACCCAGCCTCTCCTTGAGCACCCCCAGGGATGGTGACTCCACCACCTCCCTGGGCAACCTGTCCGAATGCCTGGCTGCTCTTTCTGAGCAGAAATGTCTCCTCATTGCCAACTTGAGCCTCCCCTGGTGCTACTTGAGGCCATTCCCTCTGGTCCTGTCACTGGTTACTGTGAGAAGAGGTCGACCTCCAGCTCCCCACACCTCCATTTCAGGTAGCTGTAGAGAGCAATGAGGTCTGCCCTGAGCCTCCTCCAGACTAAACAACCCCAGTTCCCTCAGCCACTCCTCACAGGACTTGTGCTCCACGCAAACAATGGCAAACTCCTTCTCCACAGGGCCCACGTATCTGTACAGTGTCCCTGTATGGGATAGGTGTCATGAGCCAAATGTGACCATGTGTATGTATCTTCCTTGGTAGTTTTGCACCCACTTGGAGGCAGCCTCCTTAGGGGGTCTGGGCCTTGAATTTGCAGAATGCAGGTGGTGCCCAGCAGCTTCAGCTGGTGGTGTTCAGAGACCACCAGTGAAGCAGGTACACTTGTGGACAAAAACAGATTGTTCAATCAGAAAGTAACAATAAAAGCAGATTAAAACATAACATGGATTAAACAAAGGTTAAAACAAAACCACAAAGTAGATGATTAACATTTTACATACACAAAGAACAGATGTGAAACACATACCCCTTTTCTTTAATTTTATTCACAATTAATTTTATTCATCAATGAAGGAACAACTCCTTGACTGGCATTTACCATGCTGTATTATTTGCTTGAAATGGGCATCATACCATAGTGTTGTTCTGCATTCAGTATGGTTGTGCATTTCAGGAAATGTGTTCAGCAAACATCGCCAGTTAGGTTATCTCATTCTCTACTTTTGTTTTAAATTATTTCTGAGGGGCAAAGTAAAATATTATTTTTTTTTCTTATGAAGGCTTTGTGAGTGCTCCTCTTTCATGGTTAACAGGAAAAGGAACTTCATTCTTTTAAAGTGTTATGTCAGGCCACATTTTGATGACCAGTTATGCTAATGCACACCAAGAAACATCCTCTGCCAGAACAGATGCCTGCCTTGGAGATCAGATGCTCTTCAGAAAGCAGCTGCATTGAAAAGAGTATCTTCTGGACCAGGCCAAGGTCATTTCTTAGCCTCTTGTCAAGGCAATTGCATCTTTAAGCTAACTGTAAAACATGGAGGACTGTGTTGGTGAAGGAAAGTCTCTACGAAGAGAAAAATAAACCACAGTGTATTCTGCTTCACTTAATTTAAGAGAGGCTTGAATCAGTGTTAAGTACAACTTTCTAACAACAGCAAGAATTGTGATCTAAAATGCGTTATCCAAGGAGGTTGTAGGATCCCAATCATTAAGAATTTGCAGGAAGAAGTGATTGGACACACATTGGTAGGGTGCTCCTGGCATGCAGGTCCTTCCACAGTATTGACCCAAGTGGCCAAAAAAAACAACACCCTCATAACATATGCACTGTAATGTAAGGTATGACAGTGGAACAGTATCCGCTGGCTGTTACTGGCTTCAGTATTAGGAAAACATTAAATAATATGATGGAAGCATGGAAGATGATACATCTGTTACTGTCTTCTTACATATTAGAGAAACAAATACAGTGGCTTTGTGTGAAAATCACGTTACTCCTGAAATAGATTAACTGTAATCACCACATACAGTATCTATCAAAAGACACCGTTTCCTGCTTTCATCGTATGTGTGATATTTTCGTAGAGATACAAACACAACCGTATATAGCTCTTTCCTTTTTGAAATCAATTCCAAATATCTACCATAGTTAAAAATCTAGAGAATCTATTTTGTTTTCAAGAAATTGTAAAATACAACTACGGGTGTGCTTTCAAAACTTCTTGATGTAGTTTGGCCTCCTTAGAATACAAAAACAGCAGTTCAGCTTAGCTACTCAGTTCAGCCCCAGGTTTTCTCCTCTAAAGAAAGATGTGTATTTTAAATTAAGAGCTATACCTTTATTTCCAGAAGTTTCTCCCAAGACACACGCCAGAGAGGTACGTCCATAGACCCTCCCATCAAGGTAACAAGGGTTCCACTTGCATTTCTCTAAAATTAAGCCATTTCAAAAAAAAGTCCCATTTGATAAAATGGAGACTCATACACATACCAAGGAAGCTCAGTGTTGCATACCATACATTATACTCTGTAATAGGGTATTTTTTCTCTTTTAGGATAATTTCTCTCTTTTAAGAGAACTTATGCAATTCTCTTACATTTCAAGGAAGATCAATGGGAACCTGGCTGTCAGTTCTCCTTTCTCCTCGGAAAGGTCTGACATATATGTTAACATTTTTTCATGAAGCTGGTTTAAGTAGGAAAGAAAAACAAAACACCAGCAACATGAAAAGCTGAAGGAGCCCATCTCACTTTTTAACCATATCTCCATTGAACTTAGCTATAGGGTTTGCCACATCTTGGAAAGGAAAAAAAAATATCCATAGAATACACTCGCACCTCCACAGGAGTTGTGTTGACTTTAAGAATGAGCAGGCAGCTTTCCTTAGCAAGCATGGAGTTGTCCATTCTGGGGCTTCTTTTAGTAGCGTGTTAGCATAGTATCAGGCTACTTTTATCATCCTCTTCCACTCATCCTGTGTGGCATTACTCTGCCACTGTTGTGTAATCTGTGAGGTTTTTTTCACAAGTCTGTTTAACTGTGACTGGGCAAATTTCACGGACTGGTAAAATTTGTGTTCTTACACAACGATAGAAAAACCCCCATAGTATTAAGCAGTGAACACATGTTTGAAAGGAAGAGAATAATCTCTTTAGTTACTGGAAGTAGCTTCTTAAGTGCCCGTAACTCACGATGCAACTGAAAAATAGTTTTTTTGGACTCCAAGCTGGTATTTCAATGATTCTCAGTTTCTTCCCCACAGCAATAGCCTGAAGTCACATCAAAGCCTCTAATTACCTTTTTCCTCATACTTTCACTCTCTTTCCCTGTGCCTCAAATCAGACTAAAGATTTGAATAGCAACTTTGCATTTTTAATAATGAAACCATCGAGATCTCTGCCAGAATATTTTTTTCTTGCAGTACAGAATCATCTTAGAATGTATGAAACTAATTTATCATGTTTCTTTATAAAAAAAAATATTTTAAGTCTCAAGCCTCAATACACTACATATTACTGTGGCAACAAATATTCAGAGGACATTCTTTTAGGCAATAATCTCCTTTCACCAACTTAGAGTTTAGTCCGGTAGTTTTTAAAGTGAACTTTGACAACGTAGGAAGCTATTCAGAACCGCTGATTCAACGCACAACAAACTGCATTTTCAGTTTTTATTATTAAATATTTTATTGCCTTTGCAGACACACATGTGCAAAAAAAAAAAAAAAAAAAAAATGGGGTACACATTTTTATCAAAAGCATTGGTAAGTGCTAAGAATATGCAGATAAAATGAAATACATATCTTATTTCTCACGGATTTATATCCACATTCTAACCATGGGAGGTTTGGGGTATTTCTCTGCTAATACACATACACTCTACTAATACACTGCCATTGAGTTGACTGGCAGTACGTACAGAGTAAATGACTTTTGTCTTCTTACTGGCACCAAAGCAGTAATACTGGTGCCAGCTCAACCTCAACCCTCCTTTCTCCCACTTCAACTTTGAATGTTGGGTTCTTTGAGAGGTTCTCAGGCAAGTGTAATACTGATATAATCAGGACATCATTGAATATCAAAATATCTTCTAGTTTAGAAGATCAGTGTTCCTCATGCTTCCATGTTACCATAGACAGGTGCTTCAGCTAAAGATACATTCAGTTTCTGAAAACTGTTATGTATTTAGCTTGTATTTGTGTGAAAAAGCCTGTCCAGGAAAGAAGCACTTCCCACTAGGATATGAAAGCTTGGAAGCTGAATTTATTTTGCTGATTTGCTTTTTTTTTTTTAAATCAATATAAATAGTACGAAATGTTTGGGTGTTGTTTTTTTCACGTATAAAATTAGTGTGCAAAAGATTAGAAGGAAAAAGTTTTGTTGTGATTGGTGCAGGAAGGTGGCTATGCACATCTCCCAGGTAAAAATCCCAAATATAAAATACTTGAAATGTTTAAATATGTTTGTTAAAATAGGTATAAATACAATCAGAGTTAAAAAAAAAAAAAAAAAAGTCACTAACTTCTGAAAAAATGTCCTGCATTAATTCAAAGGATAGCAATAAATCACAGTGTATCAGGAAGCCACTTAGAAATATCATAGTTGGAAAACTTCCAGAAGTAGGAGCTATAATCGCTCCCCAGACCTCATGAATACATACTTCACTGACAATGCTCAGTGGTTTCCAGGGTGGCAAATTTTCTATTCCCTCCTCACATGCCAAACCAACTGCAAGCAGACTCTCCTTACACAAAAGGCGAAATTATTTGTAAGCTTGAAAAGAGTACTGAAATGACATTAAAGTGTCGTTTCCTTTATTCTTTGGGTATACTGAAGAATACACCCAAATTCTATTTTCTTTCTCAGGTGGAGATTTCTAATAATGGGAGAAGAGCCTTAGTTTTTTTATAACAGTCAAAGTGGATGTTAATAAATTTAATACTTCATGTTATATAAAATATATACAATATGTCCATATTAAAATCAATGCTTATTAAAAGTCTATTGACAGGGTAATCCTTCCACTAAAACTGCTTGTGAGTATGTGCCAGCACAGGAGACTCTCAGATGCTTTCTCTAACCGCCACCTGTTGTTTCCTTGTGGATGCATTTAAAGAGGGCCACTGCATGTATCTCTTCTACTAACTGACCTGTTAATTGGCAGAGAAATGTATTTAAAGACTAATGGCACAGCAGGTTTGAAATTTAGATTATCAGTAGCTTAATTTGTAGGAGTCAGTGAGATGCCTCAATGTTGCAGTGTGGGTACTCAAAATGGACAAAAGCAATCACTTGCACACAAACTGAGCAAAATACATTCATTATGTTTTAAGGTGCAGTCTTCTTCTGTTAAGTAACAGAGGGAAATCACAGAATGGTTTGGGTTGGGAGGGACCTTAAAGATCATCTAATTCCAAACCCCCTGCTGGGCAGGGACATCTCCCACTAGGCCAGGTTGCCCAAAGCCCCATCTAGCCTGGCCTTGAACATTTCCAGGGACAGAAATGAGTTTTGTGTCCTGCTCCTGCTAACAGGCTCAGTATTTTGTCACATGAGCAGAGCACAAATCTGTTCAAGTATTTGCATCAAGCAGGCTCCAAACTAGTTAAAATTCAAACCTCCTGATTCTGTGGTATATTCTGTCACCACAGGCATTAAGTATGCACTGCCTGAAGACCACTTTGAATAATAAGGTTGCTTCTTCAAATTTCTCATCTTCCCCAGGCTAAGTTATTAGCCCATCCTTCATTCCTCTTTCTTGCCTGAAACAAGTATCATTGCACTGAGATCTTCTAAATACTTGCACCTCTAGTTACAGCAAGAGAATGCATTTCAATTAAAATAATTAAAAATAGCTTTATCAACATTTCTAGTAGCCCATAAATAGAACTACCTTTAAGCACATTTAGGAATATATTACAAAACAAACAACTGCACAATAGCCCCCGTACTTCCACGGGTTGTCATTAAAGAAAAATCATTGGAAAGAATATCAGAATTTGAAGACATTCAGGTGGGTCCGTGGTAGCTTCAGTAGGATAGTCACCTTCGGCAACATGATATGCAGCAGCAGAGGATTGTTCGTAAAGGGTGTTTTCTTCTGTATTCTAAAGCTTTTTTCACTTGTTCTTTGGCGTCTCCTACGTAGTCCTCAACATTTTGCATATTTATCTCAATGACGTCAAAGGTGTCTGCCTGTTCTTCTACCAGCAGGGCCACCTGCAGAAAGAGCTCGTGAACCTCCTTGATGCGACTTTCTAACTTCACCAGCTCCTTATGACGTGTCTCTATCTCATTCAAGGCTGAGCGAGCCCCCTTAACATCAGACAAGAGGTTCTCAGAGAAGACATCCCACTTGCCTTGCTCAATCATCTCCTCAATCTGGTTGCCAGAAACATCCTTGCCCATGATCTCTAGCTGCCGCTGAATTCGTATCTTGCAGTTCTCCCGTTGGTTCATCTCTGTTGCGTTGTATTCAAACATAGCTTCCTGAAAGGCATGCATGAGGTCCACGTAGTGGTTCTTTGCTACCCTGGCAATGACAGACATAACCCCATATTTTGTTATCGCATCTTCACTGAAATCTCTCATTATTTGGAGTTTCCTGTGGATGCTTTCTCCACGGGCCTTGATGTCTCTGGCAATACCATTAGTATCTCGTTTGATGCTACTGAGACGGCGCATGGAAGTCAGGAAGCGGCTGTTTTGCTTTTTGAGACGCTTGACATCCTCTTTTAGGAGGTCATTTTCTGTCCGGATGGTCTGTATATCTTTATGAAGAGTTTCCAAGGCATAATCAGTCTCATAAAGGAGAATGTCGCGGGGTGAATTTTCGTCATCCTCAGTATCAGAAAACTCAGGGTTGTGTAACCTGGCAAATTCACGCAGCTCGTTTAGCCGGTCTTTCATCCTTCCTGGAAAACAGGAAAAGTAGGAAAAAATTTTACAGTAAATAAAAATATTGGTTTGCAAATTCATAACTAATCATGCATTAAAGATAACCCAAAATATCAGAAATTTAGAATTTCTGATTTAGCATTTTAGAAATCAGTGGCTCTCATACCCAAAACTTTGGTGCTAGTGTACTCCACTTAGAAACTAAAAAAAGTGCAGATCTGAAGACAAATCCAAAAGAATAGTCAGATAGCTCCTAGCCCCCCAAAGCAACACTCTTTCACTTGGAGAAAATAAAATAAATAAATAAATAAATAAATAAAAAACACAACAACAAACCAACAACAAACTCAAGCAAATGATAGGAAAGCCTTCAGCTACCAGAAGGTGTAGAAACACCAACAACTGAATGCTTCCCCTATCCTTTACTCATTAGAGAAATCTCCTCTAGATCTTGACCCTTCATTGCATCAACTACCCCGAATAATCACAGGTCCTCTATCATTCCAAGTTGGTCTTTCCTGGAAGGAGAGCAGAAGCCTCTCAGAAACAGAAACCGTTCATTTTTGTATGATGGAAACATCTTACAGAAAGAGCAAAGGAACACAGTTGTTACAAATCAGGATCTGTTTTCCATATTTGTCTCAGACTTAACTGCAACTTTACTAAGACAACTACAGAATTAGTACTCTGTACAGACCAGGTGAGTAACAAGACAAATCTCCTTTACGTATGCTGTTTACTTGAAACTTTAGACCTAAAACCTTTGAAGAAAGTAAGATCTGAAAGCTTGAGCAAGAACCCTTTACTAAGCACTACAGCAAGCAGGAAGCTGAGAATTTCCCATCAGAAAAGCTGTACAACATATGACATCATTTAAATGAATAGGAAAGAGAACCAAATTAAGAAGCAACACCAAGCATAACATTTCCAGATCTCTGTTATCTACAAGATTCTTTTTTTTTTTTTTCCCCAAAGGAATTAAAGTGCCTTCACAAGCATGTTATTGGCTGTGAACACGTCCCTTCATAGGATCAGTTATTCCCAGGTTAAGGAAAGTCCTATGTGAACATACTCAGGACAATATGCCTAAATCCAGTGTGAATTAAGACTGCAAATTTATAACCTATTTCATGGGATTATTGGATGTGTTAAAGATGTTGGGGAGGAGACAAAGAAAAGATTTCATCACAGACACTTCTTTGGTTCATGTAGTTCAGTGGGGGTATGTACTAGTCTTGAGAAGTGTCCTAATTAGGATCATATTTACACTGGTGCAAAGAAGGAGTTTCAACTTAAACCAATTCTTTTCCAAGCAATATAAACCAAGGAAGTCCACCAACATCCTGAAACACAAGCTTTCATTCAGGAATCCACACATGTAAAAACTGTTTGAATTTAAAACATAAACCACATAGATGCAACTCAATCATACACGGGAAGCTCAAGTAATGAAAGGTTTTCCACCTCCTCCCTTAGCAATAACAAAATCAAGAATTACACCTCATGCCACAACACCAAGGTGAAAAATCCCCACCTAAAATGAAAACCAAATTGCGTGGGACAGTTTTAAAGTCCATTTTACTTGACTTTAAAACTGTATGGCCAAGTTTACATACAGGCACTGCAACAAGAATATCTACCCTTTATGTTTGGAAATTTGTTAGTGGACCATATTCTAGACAGCATGGTGGGAAGGGAACAAACAAAGAAGCATCTCACAGCCTCTTCTAATCATTAACTGTTTCTGAGATGTTTTTCACCTGAAATGTAGACGTGGTTCTGAAAACCAGCCACATTGCTAGTCTGACTGCATTCCTGACTCTCACTGGCTTCCCTGGAGTTTATGATCCTCCCAGTTTTAGTCTGCTCCTTCAACATGTGTTGTGTTCAACACTTTATTCTTTTATGTTTAGCATCTGCATTTGGAAGCAGCAAACAATAGTTTTAACAATCAAACCTTAAAATTATGATCCACAGAAGGAAGATGCTATCCATGTAAAATAAATCATGTGTGTGCAGGCTTACATTACCTCTGTGCTTACTATTCCTTGAGCTTGAGGAAAACTAAATTTCATCAAAGAAATTTGATGAAACTTACTAAACTCCACAGAGAGCAGTCTGACAACTGGTTCAACAATAATTACAATTTATTTTATGTGCTTAACAAAGCTGGTGCACTTCTCTGGAAAAATACCCTAAGAATGGTTAAATCCACAAGGTACTATATTGTATTCTTCCAGACTTCAGGCACCCAAAAATTTCCAACAATTTTAATTCAGAGATGCACTCAAGTACGCATACACTTACATCAGGAATTTAGTACAATAACCATTTTTTCTACTCAAAACTGAAGCAAGAGTTCTAGGCCAAGACTGGGGAAAGTTTACATTTAAACACAAAACCACACTGAGTAGGAACTCTTGCATAATAAGCTCATAACTTTATAGGAAAAGGTCTACCCTTCCTTCCCCTACCCTCAAAAGGGCATCTTATAGTTTGCCTTTCTCACCCACAACTAATGTCAGGTGTTACATAAAATAATGTAGAAAGAAAGGGAGAAGCAGAAACAGAAATCTTCACACTGTATATTACTAATGTTGTAATAAGTTCATGCATATACTAATTCTGCAGCATCTCTATAAAAAAAAAGTTTTTTGTTTTTTTTTTTAAAAAAAAAAAACAAAACATGGAAGAATAAAAAGTCAAACATTAAAATAAGAGTAAGGAGCTGTCAAATGTAGACTCAGATTGCACAGTAATGTCTCCTATGCACAGGATGATCATGCAATTAAACACTGTCCTGCATCCCATCACTTCCACCAAGTCTCTGCTTACAATCTGTATGTGCTGAAAAAAATAATGTTGTACAACATAAAATTTAATATAATTCAGTTCACGGTTAGATATCTCATTTGCTGTGTTACTACTTTTCATTTCCTCAGTGTTTTCTCCTGTGATAATCCCTGGAATGCTCCATAAACTCCTCAGAGTCCTCTGGGGAAGGCAGTCCTAACAGCCCAATCTGCAGACACAGATTTCAGCGCACAGTGATTAAGGACAACACTATCACACTTGATGAGTTACGATGCCAAGTTAAGACACTTGAAACAGTTCTCCGTACCTTGTAAATTCTGACTTCAGTCGCTGCTGCGAGTCTCAGGCACTTCGCCAAGTGAGCTCCTGGTGTAACCAGCTGGACATCAGCAAGTGAACGCATGGATCTAGGCCACCTGTGAGAAGTTCATCTCCAAAGATACATGCAGCACCACCCACGATCTCTGTGATCTGGTAGAATCCAATTCTAAACATAAACAGAAGGATCAAATTAAAGTTTCACGAACAATCTTTAGCCTGTGTTTTCCCAGTTTCTCAGTGCTTAGCTCTAAAGGCTGACATGATTTGAAACTACATACCAAAACATACATTAATGGTGGTCAATATTAGGATCCTTTAACTCTGCACTGAGAACCTGTACCAGCCAGGGCAATGACTCTACTGATAAAGTGATCACACTTCTGTCCTAACAAATGGATGCCCCCTCTTCAAGCCTCACGTCAGAGTTCTATACGCAGTCAGGGACTTTTTGATGTCTTCTTTCATTCTCCATGAGTCCTGTCCCTTTTTCTTTGTTTCTACAGTCCATCACCTAGCCTGTAGTCTTCACATTTTTAGGAACGTACGTCTTTTATCTACATACAGTGCCTAGACAGATGGAGAGCAGGAAGAGAACAACTATATGCATTTTGGCATCACATTAGGCCACAAACTCCACAAATGCCCAATTGCTCTCTAGGTTAGCATTTGCAATATTTGGCCAAAGAGATCTGTAAGAGTCAAGAAAATATTTAGGTTTCAGCCTTCTGACAACAGTAAACTCATGTGGGGCATTTGCAAACTGCTGTTTTGAGGGACTCACCATTTGGCAAAATTTTAGGAAACTTTCATAAGGAAAAGAGCCAGCTCAAATACAATGGCACCACGGAAGTTTTTCCCAATTTCAAATTCCCATTTCAAACAAAAGTGAAACATATCTTTCCAAGAGAGGCCAATAACTTCCTAACATTCATTTGATAGAGTCAGTGACAGAACTGACATGACATTGTTGAAACAAATGAACAGAAAACAACACGAGAGCAGGGGGAACCAGACATTTGAAAAACTGCAGCTTAACCCATCAGCATTTAGAGAAGTTGACCTCCTTTATCAGATGCTGCTGTTTCTCAGTAACATTTAATTACATTTACTTACATGTTAATATCATTGTTGTAATTAAAACAGCCATATATGAATATATAGTTCAGTGCTATTTATTAGTGATAGGCTCAGCTATCTCGCCCTTAACACAGGACCCTATGCAGCAGGAGAAGTGGAGCCCCCTGACTAGAAAGCAGCTGTGCAACAGAGGGCCTTGGGTCCTGGTGGCCATCCAGTTGAACGTGAGTGAGTGATGCGCCCTTGTGGCAAAGGAGGCCAACAGCATGCTGGGCCGGAGTGGCAGAAGTGGTCAAGGGAAGCGATCCCCCCCATCTGACACCTGTATCTGGAGTGCTGTGGCCATGCTGGGCCTCCCCAGCACAAGAGATTTGGGCGCAATGGAGTGAGCCCCAAGGAGGCTGCCAAGATGGTCAGAGGCGCCATGTGAGGAGAGGCCAAGCGAGCTGGGACTGTTCAAGCCAGGTACCCACCAAGTACACTCAGCTGGGGATACGTTCAGTATTCTTATCTTCATGTTAGCATGCTGCTTCTTGGTATTAATCACCACTATGACTAGCTTTCCCATGAGGCATGAGAAAGATGCAAGCTATCCTGTTAAAGTCAGATAGCAGGACTTGAAGTTTCAGATAGAAAATCCACTCTGAAAGTCAAAAACTGCACAAAGCCCCATTCCACTAGCCCCAGGTACAGACATAAAGGAGTCCTTAGCTACTGTAGCACAACATGCCTGACAAAACCAGCTATTTGCAGTAACAGAAGTTAGCTGTAAGAGCACGTTATGCATAGCACTACAAGCATGTATTTTCACCACTGTGCGAATGTTCTGCATCCTGTTATCTAAGTGGAAACAACTAAACAAAGAAAGGAAAGTTATTTCTCTAAAAGCAAATGAGTCGCACACCTATATTTGTCTCAGCTTTAACATTTGTATATCTGCACCACTGAGTTTGCAGCTGAATAGTGAGATAAACCAGCAGGTTCAGCACAGCATCCATATTTGAATCACAAGCAGCTGGGAAGGAAGCCAATGTGGGTTTTTTCTTTCTACGGCATTCATAAAAGGCAGCTGCTTGTTAATAGCAGTTTGTAGGTCAACAAAAGTCTAGTCAGTAAGCTTTTCATCCTTGAGTAGGACCTTACAAGATGAAGGTTTTACTTCATCTGAAGTGGCCTTTTTGAGGAAGAACAGATACTTCAAAACAAGTCATTTAAAAACTACTTCTATTTGCAGTTCTTCTCTCCCTTGGAAGGTAAAAGTCACTATGTGCTCCCATATAAACCCATGTGGCTCACCTGGTGGTGTCCTGCCTCTGAATGACACAGGCTATTGCTTGCATGACACATGACAGACGTGACCGAAGAGACAAGTGGTGAACAATTTGGAAATAATCTGCTTCTAGGCAGAATTACTTCATAGCCAGCTGTGTATCAGCACATTCCAGTGACTTGCCATACATACTGTTTGTGGACCATGCAGTATTGATGGAAATTGGTGGAGTCAAACATACTCAATTACAAGGCAAATAATATACTGCTGCTACGCAGAAATCTGAGTCATTTATAGCAACAAGCGTTAAATGCAGATGAAGCTTTTCTCTTAAGAGCTGCAGTCTCAGATTTAATCATTTTCCAGTACCTTTCTCTTTTAGAGCAGATTCAATCTTTTTGCCTGGTATTTGTTTTCCTATAATAGATTAGAAGATATTAACTTGGAAAACAAACTATTATTTACAATAGGATTTCCTCTTTACCAAAGAGCTTCTAATTGACTCAGAGCAGAATGCTAATCATCCTTCCAGACCAAATTCCCCACCCCCTCAATCACCTCCATCACTGGTAAGAGAGCAGCCTAGAATTTGTCAAATCACTTCTATTCTTCTTGTTTCTCATTTATAAAAACTTGAGGGAACACAAAAAAAAAAAATTGTAATATTGTGATTAGGACACTGTCCTCTGGATCTGTTTTATGACCACATCTGTATAGTCTGCTCTGACATTAATGACTACGATGGAGATCAGTATGTCAAAATCTTTTTGTAGCCTCACCAAAAGGAAGTTACCATTTTCTCTGGAGTTTTGTGTATTTTGCAATGTCTAAAAGCACACAAAATGCATTCAGGATTGAAAATACATCAGTGAACACAGAACACCGGTTACAAAGCTGAGATCCAGCAAGAAGTCACAACTGTATCCAAAGAACACTGGACACAACCACTTCATTACATAGTCAAAGTCTGTTTACAGCAGCATATCCCCTCACACTTTCAGTCACGCTGTCAAGAAGTGTATGCAATTGCTGATGTCTCAGGGCAGTTTTTTTTCAAAAGCCCGCATGAAGCTTCAACTTCTCAGTTTGCACCAGAGCTAGTTATTTCTTACAAGCTGGTACCTTCCAAGAAACAGGCAGAGCTTCAGCTTCTGCAGACTATGCAGTGTCTGAAGCTCCATGTCTCCCTTGTTTCCTTTCATACCATAAAGGCTAGTTAGAGAGGCTTTAGGGGAATAAGAAATTAGCATTCAAATAGTTTGTTGCCTCTAACTCAAGGTAATGAGGCAATAATAGCTTAACTGATAGCTTTAAAGGTTCTTTGACATACCCAGGTTTCTTCAGCAGCATTCAGTCTCTTCAATGTAAAGTAACTCTCAATTTTTGCATCAGAGCATATCATAAATTCAAGAACCAAGCACGCATCCCATACTTCCCAGACATATTCAGCAATATTAACTATCTTGTTATTTTCCATAGACTGGTTATCAGGTTTTCCAGACACCAGCAGCAAAAGTAGGAGAAGCAGCTGGTATACATTAAATGCACACATAATATGGATATAAATTTTTCAGATATTTATGAAGAGACTGGCAAAAAAATAAGTTTTGCCTAGTTACTACACAGTTTACATGCTAAATAAATGTTATTCTTGCACTAGAGAGGATGGTCTGTTGTATACATGTCAGCTGCTACTATCTATTGGGCTGTCTACATTTTCACTGAGGAGATGTGGATCACTGACAAATTTTCCACCCTGTACAGACATAAGATGGATTCTCTGTAGCTTCTCTGGACACGTTTCTGGAAAGTGCCACTACTGAGCAATTATAACTAGATTTATTTTTGTCTCTGCAGACCTTTACCAGGGCTGTAGACAAAAAAGTTTGTTCATCTTCACTACATGGCCCATTAAAAAACGGATAGTCTTCACATGTATCCATCTTGCTTCTACATACAAATGAAATAAGGATAGGGAATTCTAATGTGCACCCCAAATTTAGCCACTTCTGTTTCCTAAGGAAGCCAGAAACCACACAGTTAGCAACTTCAGATTTTAAAAAGCTGCTAAATTGCTGGAAACTGGGAGTCCTGTGAGCTGACTCTGATGGACCTGAATGTGTCCAGCTTTCTGAAAACGGAGTGCCGTTAAAAAGAGCAGATACACGTCATGGGAATACATTTTATCACAGGAGGAGAAAAAAAAAAAAAACACACTACTACTCTCCTTCAAGTACTTCTCACACAGTGTATTGCAGGCTAACTACTTCAGCATGTCTTTTCCTCCCAAGACAGGCCAAGCTGAAGTCTTCAGTCAAAATGGACCTGGACAGAGATGGGGGAGCGTGAACTGTACCACCTCAGGCCTTGCAAATAGTAGCACAGAAACATGCCACCAACATAAGTAGTGAGCCAGGCAGCCATGCGTTTCTTGGCAATTACTGCAGCTCAGCACCAGGTGAGTCACTGCGCGAGGAAACCAGGTGCGGTGCTGTCACGGCAGTGCCCTGACTGGGCTGGGGCTCTGACAAGTCACCTCAGCTCTGACACAGGTTGCCTCAGCAGAATAGCCCAGGTAGTGACCACGGTTATGCAATGACTCCCTTGCTACTACCAAATGGCATTTAGAGGTGATTAAGGCATTATGCTGGCATCCGCGTAGATGCGTGAGGCTGCATGTGATCATCAGTCAGAGGCAAAATGTTCTACAGGCATTTTTAAATTAGCACTGCAACATTATTATTATTTTTGAATACGCATATATTTACCATTTACAGTACAGTGTTACAATCTGAGATCAAGTATTCTTCTCTAAAAAAAATCGCTTTACAGTTAAGCATAGGGTGCTTTATTAGCATTAGTTCACGTGGGCATGTACACGAGGCTCAGTTCTGCATCCTACCACTAAACGTACCCAACCGTAACTGGAGCAAAAGAGGTTCGGTCCAGAAGTGTCCCTCACAGACACAGGTACACATGCACAGCCTCAGTCCCAGGACACACCGAGTGCTGGCAGGCATTACAGCAATTACTCCACACTCCGTAGCAGCCCATGGGTGTTCACAGGCCTGCTCAAAGTAGCAGTGCCACTGAGATGATATACAAGTGTAATTAGCCATGCACTGCCAGCGGTTCTTGGGTGACCGGTCCCTGACTGGGCATACCCAAAGCTCAAGCAGGCTTTATTCTTGTTTTCAAAAACAAGTGGTTTGTCACTAACACAGATATGGCACAAATGAAAGATAGAGCAGAAAAAGTGGAAGTAGTCTGTACTTTCTTGGCTTTTGTCAAGATGTCCAGAACTATCTTACACCACATCAGTTAGACTTGCTTCTCTGTAGGGTTAACTGGCTTAGCAGCTAGAGCGAGAACACATGATAAGCCTTACAAAGTCAAGAAACGTGACACCACCACCCCCTCCACGATAAACTGCAGAAATATGGTCTGGAGGAGAAGCACCAAACACTGCATGTGGTAGGCAAGATGAGATAGCAAGCCGCTTGACACAATCAGCAAAAGCTATCAAAACAGATGAAGAAGCTGAACTGTGCTGCTGGCTCCACATGAAGCCCCTCTGTGCCATGGGGGAGGTCCCACAGAGGGCAGGAGCAGCACGGCCACCCCTCAGCAATGCTCCTGCTGGCCAGGGACAGCTCATGGAGGGGGACATGTCCTGGGGGGCAGCCCCAGGTGCACACATCACCAGAAGTGGCTCCTCTGCAAAACCATGTAGCAACAATGATCCAGCATTTGGTGCCGAGTTGGGTTTATTGGATTAAATTGACATTGCCTCAGTAATTTCTGCACCGTGTTCTGTCATTCCCGCACTACATGGATGACTGAGGAGTCAAAGAAATTGATGGGCCAGATAGAAGATAACAGAGGGTGTACCTGAACATCTGGACAAGCACCTTCATGTTTGATACAGCATGTATCTTCTGTCATAACTGGTTTTGAATATGCCAACGCTATGATGGCTTTCTGTCAGACTAGCAGGTTATCCATATTCTCAATTAGCAGTGTGGATAATGGAACCCAAACATGAGCCTTTATAGCCTCCAGATGACACTGAACCAAGGCCAGGCTTGGATGGTGCTTTGAGCAACCTGATCTAGTGGGTTGCATCCCTGCCCATGGCAGGGGGTGGAGCTGGGTGGTCCTCAAGGTCTCTTCCAGCCCAAACAATCTGTCATTCTGTGAGCTGGGAGAGTGTGGAAGCAAGTGTTCAGTGGTGAAGGGAAGGAGAAATAGCTGGGATTTAAGATCATCATGGCAAGTAAGAGAAGCACTACCAAAACTAAAGGAAATTCAAGGTGTGCACATTTAGAAGTAATCATTTGCACTGATACAAAGTAGGGAATACCTATGCTGGTAGCAGGAAAGAATCAGTAGTGTTATAGCAGACTGCAAGCTAAAAAGCGAGTTCACAATATAATGTTTCTGTAAAAAATAAAATAAAATATGTCACTTATGTGAGAGATGGCATGGGAAGCCCTCGTTTAACCCTGCTCAGCATAAGTAAGGCCTCATTTGGAATACCACATGCAGCACTCGTTACCAGACTAGAAAAACTACAGAATACAGGATAGTGTCTCCAAAAGGTTTAGAAAATCCAGCTCCAGAGGAAGAGAAGGATGTAAGCTTGTTCCTTGCAGAAGACAAGGGAGAGAGACTCTACACTCTAATGTATAAATGGAGTTTATGAAAAGAAATCACTATTTGTGTTTCCAATATCAACAAAAGTCATCCATTTGATTCACACGAGTTTTACATAAAACTAGCTAAGACTGCCTGAAAATTGGATCAGTTCTTTACAGGAACGCCATGGAGCCCACTTCCTCAGAGGACACCAACAGGCTACAGAAACCTTTTGCAGGTCTGGCTCAGATGCACTGCTCCAGTACCCCAGAATGGATCAGGTCACATCTTATAATCGCTCCATGGCCCTAAATTTCCATGATCTGTCCAGCTCCCTCTCACTCCCAGTCCTGCTGTGTGCCTGTGCCAAGGAACAGTCCTGGCAAAACCTTTCTCCCAGTGGATCTCTCCTCTCTCCATTATTGCAACAAGCATTTCTCCTTTTGGAGCAGGTCACGGTAAGTGTTAAATTAGCATGGCTTTTTTCCTCACGGAAGGTGCTCTCCCACTTTTCTCTCCAAAAACAGCGTGCATAACGCAACGCAGGTGACACGAGCCAAACCCCATGCCACCCGAAATCAAGACCGCAATACAGTACGCAGTGGGGCTCCACAGCGCCTTGGTTATCTGCAGTGCCCAGATCACATTATCCCCATCTTTATGTGCCAAGAGATCTTCTGTATCATGCTTATTTTCTCGATAAGGATCTCTTACGACAACAGAGGTTAGCTCGTAGTTTTAGCCCCAGCCAAAACACCAGGCACGTTTGTCATATGACTTAGCCTGCAATTTCAGTTTCAGAGCAGTGGTCATACAGCACCGTCAGCGAGGTGAGAAAAAAGTCATCAGAAGTGTTGGGCATCAGAAGCATGTTTTCGTACAGAAGAGCTTTACCCCGTTCGGCTGCTTAGCCGGGTAGACCTTTTGTCTGTTCTTTTGCCTAGAGAAGAGTTACGGTCGTCTCGCAGTCCCACCACTTCCACATGAAACTACTTAAATAGCAAGTAACACTACCGACAGGAAAACAACATCCTTCAAATTCTCCTTGTAGAGACCCATATATTTCCATTTTCATCCCTGACAGCTTAGAAGATGACGGCTCCAAAAATACCCCCTCCAGAACAGGAACCAGAAATGCCTGTGTCCGTTTCAGACCAGCATTACCCTGCTAGTCATTTCCTCTGCTGGCACCACACAGCTACCTCAGCTGTACCCTCCTGGGCAGGCGAGGAAATGGGTGCTAATTAACAGGCAGCAATCAAGGCACGCTAACTGCAGCACCTGCTCGCCAATCCTTTAGCCCTTCACCCCTCTGTGGGGCACCCCAGCTCCCCAAAACCATCCAGAGCACAACCCCAGACCTTGCCATGCCCTGTGCCCGGGGTCCTGCTTCCCCCCCGCTGGAAGGCAGCGAGAAGGAGCAAGGCTCAAGGCTCCCCTCGCCCTCCCGCCCCCCGGCACTCACCGCCCGCCTCGCTCCCCGCGCTGCCGGTGCCGTCGGAGCGGCCGCGCCGTCGAGCCCAGCGCTAGTCCCGGCGAGGAGCCACGCCCCCGCGGCTCGCCTCGCCCTCCCATTGGCTGCTTGAGGGGGTCGATTTGCATAGCCACGCCCCTCCCTGCCGTCGGGGGGCGGCTGGACGGGCGGTGCCCCCTTCCTCCTCCTCCTCCTCCTCCTTCTCCTCCTCCTCCTCCTCCTCCTTCTCCTCCTCCTCCTCCTCTTCCTCCTCCTCCTCCTCCTCGGCCCCACGCCGGCCCCTCGGGGCGGCGCTGGGCTCGCAGCACTTGCTGAGGCGGGGGAAAGCCCGCCCCGTCGGTGCTGGGAAGTGTGGGTGGGCTGAGGTTGCCCTTTCCCTGCAGCCCGCCCCGCGGACGCCGCCTGCCCTTTCCTGCCCGACGGGGCGCCCAGGTCCCTTTTTGACCCATTTTTGGGGCTGTGACTTGGTCTCTGATGGCTTCGGCCATTCCTGAAAGCACACAGCAGAAACAATCAAGAAATACCCTTTGTCATCCTTCTAATTAAAGCAAACAAACAAAAAAAAATCCTCTAGCAAAACAATTACCCAAACACGCTAACAACAGAACGATAAGCTACACTGTTCGTTATAAAAGTAGTTCACATCTTGCTGCGACCTGAGTCCGAAGTTCATGTTTTGGAAATACATCTGAAAGACCCATTTATTTCTGAGCATTTTTTTTCAACCTTTCACCACAAAACTTGGAGAAATTTATAAGTGGAAATTTTAAAACACAGGCGTTACTTTTTTGTTGCTGCCCAATGTAAGATACCAAAAGGCTAAAGGAGCATCATGTCTCAAAGACTTGGCAGAGAAAGGGTATTACCATACTAACAAGATGACATAAGGTTGGAAAAAGGGATCCTGTGGAGGTGACATACATAGCACTTTTTAGGACTTCCTCCTTTATTTTGGATAACCCTAGGACATCGTGGTGCCAGTGTTTCTGGCAGCAGGAGGAGAAGAGGCATTACAAACCCATGCCTATGCCCATCTAAAGAAGGTTGGGGGACACAGGCTGGGAGTAATTAGCACAGGAAGCAAGAACTGGAGGTGGGGACCAGCAGCAATTACTATACTAGCAAGAGCTGGAAACTAACACAAATAGTGAAACTCAGAGGGGCCATGTGAGCACCCACCACCATTGCAGACACATCCAGAACCAGACCAGAGATGTCGCTGGAGCCCAGCCTGGTGATCTGGACCTTCCCTCTGCTCTTCTTTGTCTTACTCTCTCTCTGCCTTCATCCGACGTTACAAGCCATTCAACCCTCTGTAACAAAGTTTAGCTGGTTCCTGTTATAAACAACAAGGTTTGATAGGTTTCTGCCAGAATAGCTTCTGCCATCAATAAAACTTTAAAATCAGCCATTTGGTGTTATGTCACCTTTAGCCCAAGCGTACTTCGAACATCACTGCCTCCAGGTGGGTTGTCCAGGATGGGCTTCTCTGGGTCCCACACCCAGTAGTAACTGGAAGAGCATCCAGAGCAATCCCCAGTTAAAGTAAGGCTTCAAAGCCTCTCTTACGCTGCATCAGGACAGTCCTGGGCATGCCAAGAGAAAGTTCAGTCATAACACAGCCTGTTGCAAGGATGTACAAAATTTCCTCACTCCTTATTCTCCATGCTGCTGTTATTTCAGGAAAAACAAAACAAAAAAAAAAAAAAAACAAAACAAAACAAACAAAAAAAAAAAACAACAAAAAAAACAACAACAACAACAAAAAAAAAGTCCTTTCAGCACTTCAGTAGGTAAACACTTGAGGTTTTATGGTTAACAGAATCTTTGCTGGGATTTTTCTCTTAGGCCTTGATCCTGGAGCTGCCTGGTGGGTCCCACCATCCCTCTGAAGCTAAAGCTGTTTTTTTGTCTTCTATTCCCAGCTGCTGCTTTGAGGGATCAGCTGCAGCCTTCCAGCTGTGTAGGCCGGGAGCCTCCTCTTTGCCGCTGGACTGCAGAAGCAGATGGGACTTTTAACGTTGTGGAGCTGAAAATAAAGCTGCCTGTCCCTGTAACTGCATGGGTGATCAAGGATATAGTCTGCTTTGCATGTTGCACAGCAGCCATGACAAATCAGGCTGCTGGTATTCCAGCAAAAGCAAAGGGGTCAGTGCAGTGACTGATAGGCCTCCAATCCGATCAGGAACAAACTGCTCATACAGACACATCTGGTATCTTCTGTACCATTTGTGAGGAGGGTACAGAAGACCAAACAGATGGACGGCAAGTCTCCTCTGCTTTGGGAGAGGCTTCAGTTACGTTTTCAGCAGCTGAGTAGTGGCAAGGTAGCATTATGTTAAATTACTAGCCATCTAAGGAGGGAAATGGAGAGTGAGAGGACTTTATTGCTTCTGTGAATTCTGTCACTTTGCTTAGTCTAGGTTAAGGAAGGTTGGGAAACTTCAGAGATAGCTAGCTAATTAAGCTATGTGGATAAGTAGCTAAGAAATCACCATTGACAAACATACAAACCTACAGAGGTAACAAAGTAATTTTTTTTCCACTTCTTATTGTCTTTCATTATATAAGAGGCTGTTCATGAAAAATTGTCACTTAGCAGTGAAAGGAAATGCCTTGTTTACACAGATAATGGCAGAATTAATAAATACAGGGACCACTGGTACCCATTAGTTCTTAAATAGGGAGGTTGGGCAACATGATAGACAATGTATCTGGAGACAAGAAGCCTCCCTTTTAATGCTTTTTTTTTTTTTTTCCTCTGAAGAGCTTTTTTTCTTTAAAGACTTCTAATACTAGCCTAGTTCTTGAGTGATGGCCTCCAGAGAGCCACATTTCCAGTTTGCTCATCTCTAGAAAAAGGAGAGGCATAATTGCCTTCAGTTCTTATTCTGAAAAGTAATATGTGAACAGTTTGGAGCCGTGTGTATATTAAAATTCCTTGAGGATGTGCAGCAGCTCAGGGTGCATGCACAGAACAGAGGGACAGCTGTGCTGGGGAGACCCCTCATCTCTGTTCTAGTGCCTGCTGCTTCCAGCTGGGTTGCCTGTCAGGATGATTGCAGAACATCCTGATTGAGTTTCTTCCAAAACCCAAGACAGTAGGAGTTAGTTTAAGTAGATGCAGGTTGCTCACTGTTACCACTTCCCACCATCTCAGGGCATCTGTGAGTTCGAGGCATCTCAGTTTTGAGGGAGAGCAGTTTTGCCAGGCAAGTTATATTTACACATCCAATTCCACCTACTAATCTACTATATAGACATACACATATGTTTGTCTTGAGTTTACCCAGGCATACAGTTTCCACCCATAACACCTGTTCTCATTTTCGACAGTGTTGTCGATTAATAAAGGATACTTGTGAAACTCTTTTAGCAGAAAATAGAGCAAGTTGATGCCAGTCCAGTTCTGTAACACAGAGCCAGGTCTCAGATACCTAAAATTTATGTATGCTTCCCTGGATGAGCCAAATAAGCCTCTTTTAAGCTAGAATGCAGTCTCATGTAATCTAGCACACATTGAATTAATTCAGTTACTCTTTCATGGTTCCTGGACAAATAGCTTGATAATAATATCAACTTTTTTTTTTTTCTTTTTTCTTTTTTCTTTTTTCTTTTTTCTTCTTTCTTTTTTCTTTTTTCTTCTTTCTTTTTTCTTTTTTCTTTTTAACCTCATGGATCAGTAAGCAGCCCTGAGATTAAATGAGTTATCAGTTTCCAGGATGAGTGGAGGAAGACAGAGAATGATGCAGGGAAATCCTTTCATTGTATTCATTTACCACAAGAGTCTTCAGCTGCAAGCACCTCCACTTTGTGTAAGGCCCCTCAAGGTGTCCTCCACTGAGTCTTTCACATTTCCTCATAGCCTCTGGCAAAAGCTAATGACATTACAGTACAGCTTCTTCACTTAGTGTCAATAATGTAAAGAGATCCTGCTTGTTTGCATGAGGAATAGGCAGCTGACAAGAATTCAGAAGCTCAGGGCTTCCACAGCTAGCTAAATCCAGCTTAATTCTTTGCTGAAGCCCATGGAGTTATTTGGATTTGCAAGGGATAACACAGATTGGTATTGAGCCCTGTAGCTGTTTTGCTTTTTGCTTTCCTTTTTTCTCCTTCACTGGGAATGAAGAAGAGTGCTGGAAAAGGAGGGACTGCTGAAAGCTGTGCAGACAGAAGTGCTGCAGAGTCAGAGGATGCCCCATGACAGGGCTGTCTCTCTGGGTTATTTAGGAAAGGATTTAACATTCTTCTCCAATTATGCCTGAGAGGCATGTGGAGCCAGCCCTGGGCTTAATGCCCCTGAATTCCTTGTGAACCACAGCTTGGCACTCATGCATGGCTTTGAAGGTTCATTACACATACATGAGTACTTAAAGAGCTGCAAATCTAGTTAAGACTGTATTAAATGCCAAATTGGATGGAAAGGAAATAGCCTTGGGTCTTCTGTTGACTCAGGAGGTGACGGCAGGTGCCAGCATGTTTTACTGAGGTAGTAATTGATAAATGAGTAGATTTGAAATATTTTCACATGATGGACTTAAACAAGAATAGTTAAGTGAAGCCAATGGAACAATGCTGATTTCCATAAGCTGAAGGCTTGGTTTGTTATCAAGTAAACCACAGGATTTCTATGCTGCTGTCACAGCTTTTGAATGCAAGAGTATGGTCTGTATGTACTCAGCTTGGCAAGGATACTCTCAGATCCATTGGCCTAATGAGAAGTATTTCCTAACCCTATTTCTGTGCTTCAGTAAAGACGTGTTCTGACACCTGTTATCAGACAGGAGTGTATCTGTTCTGCCTGTTTACGTGCCCTTAGATTAACAGCAGCTGGTTTCAGCAGCACAGGGAGAGCTTGGTAACTTGGTAGAACAGAGAGAAGGAAATATTTATGACAGACACGATGGTTCGAAAAGCCTGGGCAGGAAGACAGATAAGGTAGCAGGAGCTCAGATTTGGGTATAGTCCTGGTAACTGCAGGTTCTAGGACAAGTTCATATCGGCAAAATGTACATGCCCCGTTTTCTCCTCATCAGTACTCTGAGCAGAAAATGGGCAGGCTGCCTATCAGGTGTGGAGAGACAATTATTTGGGGCTTAAAGACCTCCAGGGGTAAAGAGC